AAAAAAGTAGATATTGTTAAATAATTAAAAAAGAATAGAATTACTCCTCCCGAAAACAAGTTAAAACTGAAATGGCTTTTCTATCAACTTTTCCGTATAGCTTTCACCCATGCAATTGCTATAATTAAAATCTAAGAAATTCAAATTACAAAAATTCAGTAAAAAAGAATTAAATTAGCAACTTTTTCCAGCATAATTCTTTTAGTTTACTTTCCACAGAATCTAATTCTTCGTTTTAGTTTCATATGTGAATAATGTGCAAGTTAAATCATGGTGGCAGTTACAATTGCGTAATTAAATTGATTAAATAAAATGAAAATGAAATGAGTTTTTACCAATTTTTACATTTTAAGTCCCCCTTAGCATTCCTGAAAATTAATGAGGAGACATTTTTACATATATCCAGACCTCTATTGACTTTGCTTTGAAACTTTTATTTATTTATTTTTCTTATATTGGAATCAGATTGCTACTAACGGACTAATATTAAAACTAAAGTGTAACTAAAAGACCAATATTAAAACTGATGTCTTATACAGGGTTGAAAGCGAGAAAAGGTTGGTAGTAAAATCCTTCAGTTATAGCTAGTTTTTGGGAGGAGTTTACTAATTTTTTTTTTTAATTATTCAACAATATCTACTTTATCTTGGAAAAGAAGTAGTTTCATATATATGCTAAAATTATAAAAGAAATCTTGATAGTTACAGATATTTTATTTTTTTCGAAAAAAATGCTGCAATGAAATGTCTTACGTACCAGTTTTTTCTCTTTTCCGTCTTGCTATATAAGGGCTTTCTTATAAAAGGAATAATATTATCACACAACTCTACTCAAGGAGATCTCCCCATCCCAATGATGATTTTCACTTCAAAACTCAAGATTTACTTCTTTAAGGACTTGATTTGTTGTTACTAAATACTACAACTTCAATGATATTTAAGACCTTCTAGAATACGACAAAACAGATTCGATGAATCGGTTAGTGGGGCTTCGCGCCAAACGCCGAGATAACCCCAATATCCAGCATCCAGGAATAATATTAGATTTGAAGAGTTATAAAAGGAATGATATTAAAATTAAAGTCTTGAACTCCACGCGGTACTCCACTCTAAGTCCTTGATTCTCTCCACTTTGTGAGTCCTTGATTTAGAGGATTTTAATTACACCTATTTTTATCCGAAATGATCGAGAGCTTCATAATAAATGGTAAACGGATTAGTAGAAAGAGGAGGTTTTTAATAAGAAAATCGAATCAAAACATTAAATAACTCTTTTGTGATATGCATTCAAAAGTTGCTTTTTAACACTAGATAGACGGCGGAGTTTAAATTTAGCAGCTCTCGTTTTTTGTTGCTCTGTATTTCGAAGAAGACGCTCAGTGGCTGAGTGGTAGCTCTTCGCGTTCCCGTGCCACAGGTCCTGGGTTTGATTCTCGGGCCGGGCAAGGTTGACTCGGCCTTTCATCCTTTCAGTGGGTCGATAAATGAGTACCAAGCATGCTTGGGAACTAAACACTAGGATTTCCGCTTTCGGCTGACAACCTGACCGGAACATCTGCTCCTGCACCCCAGAGCCCAAGGTCAAGAAAACTGAGATGGGCACAGTAGTCCTTGGCCCTCTATGGGCTGTCGTGCCACTGTGTTTAGTTTAGTATTTCGAAAAATGACTAACTGAAAGTAATGAAAAATTACTGGCTTTTCCTGCCTTGATCCTACTTAAGTGCTCACTTATATATTCAGGTATATACAGAACATTAAACTTTTAATGACGGGAGAAACCAGAGTGGCCCCTTAGATGTTTTGGTGGATATCCAGTAACCCTGGATAGTTTTGGGTATAAAATATACACTGGTTAGAATAAGGTACCCCAGTTTCATTAGAAAGCAAGGGTATGTCAACATATCTATAATTATTATTTATAAAGAAAAGTATAGAAACCTCAGAAATTAAAGTATAAGTCAAAAAGAAACTAAAGACTAAAGAAATGCCAGTCCCCTGTTTAATGAAATATTTCCGTTAGCCAAATCGAAAAAAAAACAATAGAATTTCGATGATCAAGTTTATCATATGCTTTTATTAAATTAATTACGATTATACAAGTATTTTTGGATGTCTAATTGATCGAAACTCGAACTATTAAGGAAAGGTAAAACTGGTCCCTTCAGTTTTTCTAGGTATACCGCAAGATTCAGTCTTTCTAGTATCGAATGTTATCAAATTTTTATACCTGTCAACTATCACTAATTTTGGGAAAGTGTAATGTTTTTAATTAAAGATGTGGGAAAATATACGTTTTTACTTTCTACACTTGAAAAGTGACTTTAAGCCATCACACTGAAAATAAAAGTATTTAGTACTTAAAATATTCAGTAAGCACTACTATTTCATGATAAAATAACTGCAGCTTATATACCAACGTTGAAAATATTTTACAAAGCGGTAGAAAAGTAAAGCAGAAAATATTTTTTTTAAGAAATAAAGCTATTTTTCCGAAGCATGAATAAACTAATTAACTAGTTTTCAGCATTATTTTTTCGTCATTCGTAAAACTATTTTTTTTTAAGCTTTTAATACAAAGGTTAACCGAAACTAATATATCAGGGCAGCCAACTACTATCCTTCTTTTGTATATATATNCAAATTTTATTTTCTGTTTTTTGCTTGATATGTTTTATCTCGTATATATTTTTTACCTAATGTGTTCTATTTTCGCTTCAATATTTTTAGTGCTCTTCACACTAATGTATTGATATATTTTGCTTTGACTATATTGGTACAATATTAGAAAGCACTACTTTTTTCCGGATATAATCGTGTGAGCTGATGAAAAGATTAAGTCTTTTATTTTCCGGATATTTATAAATTTTTTTATTCTTTTTTCGGATATTTTTTTTACGGTTTCTTGTTTTTTTTATTATTATTCCCCCCCCCTTTTTTTCCTTCATATGTCTGTTCTCATATGATGAGTTCCAGCTTGTCTGGGAAGTAAAAGCGGCACTGTGTTCAGTGCTATCCACATTGCCACAATCATGCCATTGGTCACGAAATTGTGGAGCCCTAGCCTCCATGACATCCCTGTCCTACAACGGACTGTTGTGGGTAGGCTTTATTTTATTAAAAAGACACTTCCTTCTCTCCTATTATTTGATTCTGGGTCGCCAAATAATATATTTTTTAAATATAATAATAAATTAAAAATTTTGCTAAGTTGTCTATGTTTATTAAAATTTGAAGAAAAAAAAATAGTCTGTTTACTCAATAGTAGTGCAGTGATTGGTATCAGATGTAATTAAGAGTAACATTTGTTAAAGCGTGGTTTGTTATAGCGTGTAAAGCATGGCTTCCACCGGTGAATGTTGACAATCACATATTCGCTTTGGTAAAGTCCGAAATATATACTAAGCCTAGTTAAGTGCCACTGCCCGGTATCCAGTTGCCCTGACTGCCCTACATCAATATTTTTTTAAGGTTCAGTCACCCTGCCCTGCCAACCCTACAGGGATGTTTTTTTAAAAGTTGAGTACTATTGCCTGATATGCATTTAAACGGTACTCCGAACACTGATGTTTCTCCTAATATATATCCCCAGAAGGTATTAAAATATCGAATAAATATGATAATATCAACGAATAAATTAATATGAACAAATAAATTAATATCAAATATGATATAACAAATATTTCGGACATTCACCAAAGCAACTATGTGATTGTTGATATTCACCGATAAAAGTCGACATTCTCTTGATCTCGACCATTCACGTTAGCATATAAATGTTATTGCGGTGTTTAAAATGTGCATTTCAGCAACTAATTTTTCTAACTGGAAATGGTTAATACTATTATTTCAATGAGTCCAAATGAAATATATTTTTATGACTGAGATTTATATATATATATATATATATACACTATAACAAAGAAATCGATACACGCCTGCACACTGCCGAGTCAGATTACAGTGGTGCAAGGCTTGATCAGGCTGGAATGATGCCAACTGGGGACGTATAGTCCTTAGCGACGAATCCCGCTTCTAACTGTGTCCTGACGATCATCGAAGACGTCTTTGGAGACGCATAGGGCAGAGGAGGGATCCTGCCTTCACTATTGCACGCCACACCTGCCCTCAACAAGGTATTATGGTATGGGTGCCATTTCCTTTGACAGCCGGACCCCTTTTGTCGTCATTTGAGGTACACTTACTTCACAGCGGTACGTCGACGACATCCTAATACTTGTTTTACTACCGTTCCTTTTGCAGCACCCTGGGCTGGTTTTTCAGCAGGGTAATGCCAGACCACATACGACGCGTGTTGCTATGAACTCTCTGCAAGCTTGTCAAACCCTTCCTAGGCCTGCCAGATCACCAGATCTCTATCCCATCGAGCATGTCTGGGATATGATGGGATGGCGATTGCATCTGGCACGAAATGTTGATGACCTCGTTCGACAATTGGATCGAATTCGGCAGGAAATACCGCAAGAGACCATCCGGGAGCTTTATCGGTCCATGCCACGCCGTATGGCAGCTTGTATCCAGGCTAGAGGCGGGTCAACACCTTATTGAACTTGTTACTGTAACTCTGCAATAAATTATTCAATTGTTCTGAAATTTTAATCATTTACTATTTTTTACATTGTCTTCCTATCCACCAATTTTCGTTTCAATCGGACAACTCCTTCTTAGTGCGGCGATTTTTTTGTTATAGAGTGTATTTATTTTTTCATTTTATAGAAAAATGTTTGGTTTACAACTACTGAAAAAAATATTTTTCAAATTGATCAAGGTATGGGTTCATTGTATAAATATAGATTTTTGAAAGTTGAAAAAAATTTATAAACCGTTATATGTATATTAAATGCATTAATATAGGAGGTAATAGCTTAATTTTTAGATAATTCTTTCTACTTAAAATTTTTATTTTACTACAACTCTGTAAAAATCTTTTCTAAAGCTCATAGAAGTATGCAGTATGCAGTACAAGTTTGTATATGCACTTACTATCACAACTCCATCCATTTTGAGCATAACCATCTTTGCATTTACATATCTGATTTCCATCCTCATCAAAATCACAGGAAACAGAATCGCCAGAACAATAACACACTATTACAAAATAAACAAATTTACTAACACAGTTAACCAACAAACATCGTACTCTAAATTTCAGTAATGAAAATATATAAATTTGTCGTTATTAATGCTACTTGCTAATATCAGCAAGCCTGCTTGAAATCAACCAAATTTTTATATAGGAGGGTGCGTTTCCTGTTTTTCAGTGGCGTTCTCTATGGCTAAGATTACGATTTCAGCCACAGACGTCATAGCCCGTTTTACACTGAAGCCTCAATCATACTTCATTCATTCATTCACAAATCGTAATTTTGACCTCAACCAGAGGACGATCAATCTCCAATTCAGTACAAGTACAGTGAGAGAGATAGCTCATACGATTATATCCGCATAAAGAAGTGCTTTCTAAATTTGTATCAATACAGCCAAAGCAAAATATATCAATACATAGTGTCAGGAGCACTTAAAAAAATTGAAGCAATAATAGAACACACTAAATGAAAAATATATACGAAAAAAATATATCTAGCAAATAACGGAAAATAAAAGGTAGAGGAAATACAACGATATATTTACGCTTCCTACATCTATTTGCTCTTCTATTTTCATATTTTGTAATCTGGCAATCATGTTAACTGATTAATTCGTTACGTGCAATCTGCAAAACACATACATTGTACAGTCCGCAAAAAAAAAAACGAATCACCCTGAATAACTTTCGTTCTAATGATCGGATTTTCACGAACTAAGTAGTATTTGCGATCAAACCTGGGGGTGACCTCAAATATGCTAATTAATTAGTGCTAACTATTAATTAAGTTACGAAATCAGACACAAAAACGTACTTTCTCTGAATAAACATGCATTTTTTTTTACATATTTGGATTTCTTATCTTCAAAATATAGGGGGTAGCCGCAATCTGGGAAATGTGGTCCCCATAGTTTGGTCAGGAGAGCGATTC